CCCGCCTCGGCCTCCCAGAGAGCTAGGATTACAGGCGTGAGCCACTGCGCCCAGCCCTTGTGCATGTTTATGACAGAAACACAGATGGAAAGATTTCATGAAGAATTTTTTCATTCAATTGCTGATAACTATTAATAATTAGACTTACTGAGCATTTACTCTCAAACCTTTAAAAATTATGGTTTTGTGTGCTGGTCTGTTCATGTGGTGCAACGTGGAAAACGAAACATCACCCACCCGGTTCTGTGGGCATCTGATTTGTGTCCTGGGACCCTCACACTTTTTGTATTTCTCTTCAGGAGAGCCAAGGTGGGGAGTTGGCCCTTTTACCAGTGATCTTACCCTTACATTGGCCTACTTTTGCATTTTTGTTGAAAACAAGTTTCGTAATTGGTGGGAATGACAGGTTTATGTTCGTACAGAATATTCTTATTGGGTAGGTGTTTTGACATGAAATACCTCCTTGAACTCATGTTATAGATAAAATATGTACTCATATTTCTTAAAAATGTATACCTAGTGGTTTAGTTCCATTCTACTCATTAAAATAAGATAGTTGTACAGCTACAGAGCAGTAACATATGATTTAAAATATCAGTCTATATTCTCATTTCTAAGAGAGACAATGATGTTCTTGTTTATGGTTGCACATTTCCTTGATGGAGTTAATACATTTTTTAGAAAGTAATCTTAATCAGTATAATCCCAGTTTTATTCAAATTACAGTCTTAATCCTTTTTGTAAATCATTACCATTCAGATTTCCCTTCCATAACAGCAGAAGTCCTTTTCTGTTCTCTGTATTGCACTTGAAACAGTGCGGTGTTAACAGCTATTCATCGTTTGCTGTTTATGACTGAATAGCCAGAATCCCAAACCTGTGGGAGGAAATATTCCTTAGATTTCCTTATAGTCAGTTTCATGGATCTTTGTATGTCAATTTCATCACTTAACAGGAAGTTACTGTCTATATTTTTGGCAATATAATTCCTTAGGAGCTTTCTTCCATCACCTAGAAAGACAGAGTGATGTTCACACACATATTTATGTGATATATCTGGGCCTATGTACATACCAACTCTCCAGGTATTCCCCCAGAAGCCACATGTGAGCTTTGAAATTCAGTTTCTGACCAGAGCAAGGAAAGGGGAATGCCAGCAGGTGAGGAATTGAGGAGGGTTGATGAGGACACAGTGCTTCCATGACTTTTTTCTCTGCAAATGAGAGCTTTTCTGAGACAGCTAGAAAATGTGTGGATGACCAGGAATCTCCTTCAACTGTAAAAGTCTGCTGGCATGGCGTAGGCTGTGAAACTTGCCAGGGATGGAGTTTGTACTCACTAAGTGACTCTCTCAACCTTAAATAGAAACAGTCAGTCATTTTGTCACATTAAAGTTTGAGTAAACTGTCAAATCTTTACAAAGCCCACTCAGGAATGAGGTGATAACAGGACGCCACACCCCCATCAGGAAGACCGCCGTAGCCTTATGTTCAAGAGCAATGGAACCTCAAGGTCTCTCTTGAGATCATGGATCCATTTTGTGTTCTCAGTTTGTTCTCCAGTCAGGGTTTTATGATGATGAAACATCTTTCGTAAATCATTTGAAAGAAACGTATATGCTGAGTTTTGTATTCAAAGTAAGAATAGACTGTTCTAACGTCAGTTACTTTGCTGTTTGCCTATTCTTGTGGAACTCAAGGGCAAAAAGGAAAAACCTGTTGGTTAGCTACTCTTAAGTAAAATTTATTCATTGCTCATTTGTATTTGTAGAAAGAGTAACTCTTCCTAACGTGTATTGGCTCTGTGTAGAAACTTTGGGGTTCCGGAGCAGCTCTCAGGTCCACCCGGACGCCTGCCATGGGGGTGTTTACTAAAGACTTGTTGACCTGGAAGGAAAAACATACCCAGAGGGGATTAACAGTGGGGATAAGTTCTTTTCTGAAATGAATATTTTATCCCTTCTCTTTTCAGGGTATCGTGCAACAGTTTTTGGTGTTACTGACGACCAGCTCTGACGAAAGTCTTCAGTTTCTGAGCTTCAGGTTGGACTTTAACGAACATTATAAAGCCAGAGAGCCAAGACTCCACGTGTCTCTGGGCACCAGGGGGCGGCGCAGTTCACACACGTGAAACCTCATGGATCATCCCAAGGACGTGCCAATGCTACTAATGCATTATCGATGTCAAAATCTACGTTTTGGTTCTCAAGGCACTGGCATGCTGCAGGTGTCCACCCTCTCTGCCTGAGAGCACTTCAGTGTGTCACTGGCATGGCGTATGGTCTATCAAGTCAACGTTTTTATACAGCGGAGTTAAGTGTATTTGTAATATCACTCAGTGAAATAGGCTGGCTGCATCATTCAATTTTATTTCTAATAGTCTTCATAGTTAAAAAGTACCATAATTTGTTGAGCTGTCTATGATATAATTTATATGTGTCATTTTTAAGAACACCAATTTCTTTTAGAGAAAATTAGGGTGATGGGATATTCATCGGTTGAGATGGTATTATCATTGCTATTTTTTTAACATCCTCTTCAGAGGCAATCTTTGTTAACGTAATCAGATTAAATTGAAACAATCTCCCTACTAAAAAAGTATATAGAGCATTTTATTTTGGTTTTCTAGTGTTATATAATACCAACCTCTATGAGAAACTTTGTATCTTAATGCATTACCTTTACACATATTTATTCTTATGTTCTCTTCTTTCAAAGTTTACATTTTTATATTTAATTTACTATTTCGGATAACTTTTAAAATAATATAGAAAAAAGTAGGAGTGGTGTAGAACAAAAACATCCTTATACAGTGCAACCTAAATTTCTTGAAACCATCATCTGACGCAGTGTGTAAATATGAATGACTAGAGAAGTTAATGAAGTATTTTATTTTCACAATACTGATAAGCATTGGAAAGAAATAGACTTGGATAATGAACATTTCCTTTTTCCTTGCCTATTTTTTCATTGTAAATATTTATATACTACTGACCAAATGTTGGGGGGAACTGTTTTTTGTAAAAATGTCATCAGGTCACATAAATCTGCCTTTATTATGTTACATAAGTGAAAATTTAGAAAATTAAAAGCAATTATCTTTCAGATTCATCGGTTGTTTCTTGAGTAGTCTATGAAGACACAGTTCACTTGCTAGGTTTTGGGGGTGAGGGTTGATAAAATATAATTTAATGTGCTACAGTGTATGCATTTTTAATCAGTGAAACCAAGAAATTAGACAGTGCAGCTTCCAGTATAGAAGCAAAAGGGCAGTCAGGAGTGCCCATGCAGTGAGCCCAGGGTGAGCCTAGGGTGAAGGTCAGAGATTTTTAGAATGTACGTGTTATTAGTTTAAAGATTCAGAAAGTCAGAAATTTGAAGCAGGTTTCTCTACTGCAGGCCTTGCCAGGTTATTATCACATATTGTGTATCTCAAAGATAAGTTTCCCAAAGTTTCTTCACCATGGAACCTGCTTTTATTTTATTCAAAGCATTGCTTCAGGGATTAATCCTCAGTAGAAACTTCTCTAAAAAATGCCACCCTAGAATTAGGAATTGAAACTCCATTAGAGTTTAGGAGTCGTCGCAGTTTGGTTAGATTGGTGGATCACTCCTGTGGAGGTGACCTCCTTTCCTTGCCAGGATGACCCTGGCAGGTCTCGCCCAGGGCTGAACTGTGGGTGTGAAGGTGGGAGCTGGGGCTTGCGGGGAGATGGAGGGCGTCACTGTGAACGCACAGCCAGGACTGGTGGGGAGCTGGGTCTCAGAAACCAGCATCAGCCAGGGATGGACAACGTGGAGCTCCTCACTGTGGTGTGGAGCATGAGGCAGGGATGACCCCGGCACGGCCCTGGAGGGTCCTATCTCCACCCAGAAGATGCTAACCAGTCTGTCCCGTCAGGATTATTGTGAAGATTAGAGGTGCGATATGCACAGTATCTGGCTCATGGAGGTACTTAATAAATGGTGCTCTTGTGTCCTGGTGGAGTAAAGCCGTTTGTCACGGGCAGCTTGAGTGAGCCAAACCTAGCTGCTGTCAGGGGGCACCTCTTTCCCACCAAGGGAGCGGAGTAACTGCCGCAGAAGGCGCAGCTGTCCTGCTGGGAAGGGCTGGCTCTGTGTCCCGCTGCGCTGATAGGCTTGACTGGAGAGGGGAATGTTCTTCCCTCCCCTGCTTAGTTGTCACCAGCAGTATTCATGGCATCATGATTCTCAAGTCCGTGTGGATAATGTGTGCTCCAGACATTAAAATATGGGACAGAAGGCACAGCCAACTTGAAAATCTCACTTACTAGGAAAAGAACACTTTTACAAAATAAGCACAGTCACACTGAAATTGAGTCATGAGAGACAAAATACACATGTTGACAGCTGGAGCTGTAAACTCAGCTTGTGGTTTGAGGAAAACATGGGTTGCTTGTGACTGCTGATGTGTGGTTGAAATACCTTAGTTATGGTGAGGAGGACAAGCGTCTCCTATCTGCTGCTTGTTCCAACACTTCCACAGCTGAGAGAATGGCTGGCCCTGTGTTAGTAACACAAATATCACCTACAATAAGAGTTTAATGAATTTAAATAACTATGTAGGGGGGAATAGAATGATACCTAGAAATTTAGAATTGAGAAATAACAATCATATACAGGCATACCTCATTTTATGGTGCTTCGCAGATACCACATTTTTTACAAATTGGACGTTTGTGGCAACCCTGTATCTAGCAAGCCTATTGGCACCATCTTTCCAACAGTATATGCTCACTTTGTGTCTCTGTGTCACATTTTGGTAATTCAATACTCCAAACTTTTTCATTATTATATCTCTTATGGTGATCTGTGCTCGGTGATCTTTGATGTTGCTGTTATAATTGTTTTGAGACACCATGAACCGCACCCAGGTAAGATGGTGAACTTAATTGATAAATGTGTGTTCTGACTGCTCTGTTGGCTAGCCATTCCCCCTCCCTCTTCCTGCCCTTGGGCCACCCTATTCTCTGAAACACTTCTGAGGTTAGGCCAGTTAATACCCTAAAGTGGCCTGTAAGTGTTTAAGTGAAAAGAGTTGCATGTCTCTCACTTTAAATCAAAAGCAAGAAATGATTAAGCTTAGTGAGGAAGGTGTGTCTATAGCTGAGATAGGCTGCTTTCACCAAACAGCCAAGTTGTGAATGCAAAGGAAAAGTTCTTGAAGGAAATTAAAGTGCTTCTTCTCCAGTGAACACACAGATGATGTGGAAGCAAAACAGCCTATTGCTGACAGGAAGAAAGTTTGAGTGAAGATCAACCAGTCACAACATTCCCTTAAGCCAAAGCCTACCCCGGAGCAAGGCCCTAACTCTCTTCAATTCTGTGAAGGCTGAGAGAGGCGAGGAAGCTGCAGAGAAAAGTTGGGAGCCAGCAGAGTTCATCAGGTTTAAGGAAAGAAGCCGTCTCCATAACATAAAAGTACAGTAGCAAGTGCTGATGGAGAAGCTGCAGCAAGTTATCCAGAAGATTATTGATGAAGGTGACTACACTAAAAATTTTCCGTTTAGACAAAACAGCCTTCTATTGGAAGAAGATGCCATCTAGGACTTTCATAGTTAGGAGAAGTCAATGCCTGGCTTCAAAGCTTCAAAGGGCGGTCTGACTCATTAGGGGCTAATGCAGCTGGTGACTTTAAGTTGAAGCCAGTGCTAATTTACCATTCTGAAAATCCTAAGGCCCTTAAGAAGTTTGCTAAATCTATTCTGCCTGTGCTCCATAAATGGAACAAAACCTGGATGACAGCACAGCTATTTACAGAGTGATTTACTGAATATCTTAAGCCCACTTTTAAGACCTATTGCTCGGGAAAAAAAAAAAAAGATTTCTTTCAAGTTACTACTGCTCAATGACAATGCACCTGGTCACCCAAGAGCTCTGATGGAGATACACAAGGAGATGAGTATTGTTTTCGTTCCTGCTAACACAACATCATTCTGCAGCCCATGGGTCAAGGAGTCATTTTAACTTTCAAGTCCTATTATTTAAGAAATAACTTTTCATAAGCTCTAGGTGCCATAGATAGTGATTCCCCCGATGGATCTGGGCAAAGTTAAGTTGAAAACCTGGAAAGAACTCACCATTCTAGATGCTGTTAACATTTACAATTCATAGGAGGAGATCAAAATATCAACATTAAAAGGAATTTGAAAAAAGATGATTCCAACCCTCATGGATGACTTTGAGGGTTCAAGGCTTCAGTGGAGGAAGCAACTGCAGATGTGGTGGAAATAGCAAGAGAACTAGAATGAGAAGTGGAGCCTAAAGACGTGACTGAGTTACTGTAATCTCACGATCAAGCTTAAATGGATGAGGAGTCGCTTCTTATGGATGAGCAAAGAAAGTGCTTTTCGGGGCGGAACCTACTCCTGGTGAAGATGCTGTGAACATGGTTGAAATGGCAAGAAAGGATTTAGAATATTCCATAGAATTAGTTGATAAAGCAGTGGCAGGGTTTGAGAGGACTGACTCCAAATTTAAAAAAAGTTCTACTGTGGGTAAAACACTATCACATGCTGCAGAGAAATCTTTCATGAAAGAAAGAGACAATCGATGTGGCAAGCTTCATTGCTGTCTTATTTTAAGAAGTTGCCACAGCCACCCTAGCCTCATCAGCCATCAGCATGGGGGCCAGCCCCTCCACCTGCGAAAAGACTGCAGGCTTGGATGATTGTTAGCACTTTATAGTAATAAAGTATTTTTAAATTAAGGTGTGGATGTCGTTTTGTTTAGATATGATAGAATTGCACACTTAATAGATTACAGCTTAGTGTAAACATTTCTAAACTCCGGGAAACTCAAAATTTCATGTGAATCACTTCATTGTGCTACGGAACCAAACCTGCAGTAGCCTCCAGGTATGTCAGTATTTTTAGCTTATGAGGAAATAACGGTCAAATGAGTGCAATTCAGTGTGTAAATGGGAGGTGCAGCCAGGCCCTTTCTGTGTTTGGTGGCCTTGGGCTGGACTGTACAAGGGGCTGCTGGAATTGATTTGGAAAGAAAGCAAGAGCAGCCGGTCACGAGCTCACAACCTGGTTCTCAGAGCCTTTGCCGTTTGTCAGAAAGTCCACTGTCTTGGACGCGTATTTGTACCAATGACCTGAATTAATTTTAATAGTGCACAAAGTACTCAGCGCCTTTTTAGTGAGTAGATTATAAACATCCTGTTTCTGCTGTGGCTACCAGACTATTCAGATATCCTAATTCAGAGGTAATTTTTACTTCCCAGGTAGGCTGCCTTTTCATTTAGGCTTTCAAATTTCTTAGCAACAATTTTTTACATAAATGCCTCTATAATTTTTTAAATATTAATTTTTGAGCTACACTCCTTTCATTCTTTATTTTAATATACATGTTTTCTCTTTTTTCTTGCTGATCACATTTAGCAAAGTGTTTACAGTTTAG